AAACACCAAAACAGACATGAAAAAATAGAGCTAATACTTCTGAATTAAAATGACTGTTAAGGCAGGAAAGAGAATGGAACTACGTTAGCAATAACATGTAATGTTTAAAGTGTGTTTCCTTTCCTCCGTTACAACAAATCAGCCAGGGAAGTAGTTACTTTGACCTCCAAAGCATGTCCAGTTTTGTTTGTTTGCTGATGACTAGCATGAAAGGAAAAAATCAAACACCCCCCAAAGGTATAATAAAGATTCTTAAAAAAATAAAAATAAAAAATAAAAAGAGCCACACCTATGGCAAGCAACCAAGCAGTAGGAATTTACTGAAACTCCAGCCAATGTGGGCAGCTGAAAGAAAATGAACCCTGGCACCTGTGAGACTGGATGGATGGGCAGCATCTTTTCACCCCGAGGGAAGGCAGACAGTGGAACCCATGGCCCCCCAGCCTCAGGGTTTACACTGGGCGGAGGCGGAAGGGGGGGGGGTCTATATTCCAGGTCCCCTACCAGCAGAAGTTCCCTTATTGTTGTGCTGATTCAGCACATCTTTCATCTGGCCCAGCCCTTCCTGGTTCCATTTGCTTTGTGGGGTACAATGGCTAGCTCTCTCCAGCAGAGCAAGTATCGCAGGCAGCTTGTGTCTTTATGTCTATCACCAACGGGCATGGCCCTCCATTTGACTTCCAACAGTTTGTGCTAGCAGAACTAAGGGGTGAATCTGGCTGAATAACTAAGGGGCACAGCCTTCTCACTCTGTGGGCCTATCACTAAATCCCACTAATGATAGCTACACCTTCACGCACATGGACAGCGGAACAGAACCCTACCCAAGGCCAATGCTGCCTATCTACTAGTGCAGAATTATACTCACGGAATAGGCCAAATTCTGCTCCCAATCAATGGGGATGCACTGGTGTAACTGAGGAAAGGATTAGGCTCACCATGTGTAAATCATACATCACAGGCAACTACAGGTCTATGTCAGCTGATTGTATCTAATTATAACATCTGGCATAAAGCCAGACTAAGACAGGAATGCCAGTCTATTACATTTCCTAGTATAAGCAAATGGATTTCTGGAGGTCTGTTACGCTCCTCATTTTTGACATTAGTCAGAACGTGTTTCCTGTACTGTATTAAGTTCTAGTAAGAAAATAAAAGTTTCTATCCGCTTGCTGAAGCAAGTGAACAGCTACTGGATGCATAAAATGTGAAAATGTGGCCTTGGAATTATGGGTTTTATGCCCCTGTTCTCCCCACATGCGGAAATATATTTTAGTGAGGGCTCCCACTGGTAGCTTTCCATATGAAATCCTTTGCACTGATTCCTGTCTAGGGTGAGACTTTGGCTACAGCGTAGGCAGGGAGAAGCAGTCTATCCCTTGCTGGATTCCAGGAATAGATAAATCCACCTATATGGTCTATTCTGAAATGCAAATAATTTTATCTTGCATTGAAATGTGTTGAAAATAAAAACGTCTGCATTTTAGGATCAGCAGTTGAAGCAAATAGTCACTCTTACAGTCCAGAGGGACAAAAGCAAGCCCACCCTGCAGCATATTTGGAAAATGGCTTAACCCTGATTCCTGTTTCCACTAGGCTGGAACAGATGTAAACAGAAATAGAAATAACTACTTTTAAGCCTTTAATGCCGGTCTCCTTATAAATAGGATACAAGTAACTCTAAAATGATGATATAATGTCCATATTTATTGAGCAACAGTTGCACAGTGGTAATTTTGGAAGCTCAGGACAGCCAGACCTCGCTATTGGAAAATAAAACTCCAGCTATGCAAACGCACAGTGTGGTTTTTACTGTTGCAAAATACACCATAAGGAGCTACATTTCTAAATACATACTAGCAGCTCCAGGGATATATAATGGATAGAGCACAGGCTTTAGAATCAAGAGAACGGAGCTAGTCTTAGCTCTGCCATAGACTTCCTGTGTGTTCATGGGAAACTCACTTAGTCTTTCTGGGCCTGTTTCTCCATTGGTGAAATGGAGCTAATACAAATTACGAGGGCTGTCGATTAATCGCAGTAAACTCACATGATTAACTCAAAAAAAATTAATTGCGATTAATCGCCCTGTTAAACAATAGAATACCAATTGAAATTTATTAAATATTTTTGGATGTTTTTCTACATTTTCAAATGTATTGTTTTCTATTACAACACAGAATACCAAATGTACAGTGCTCACTTTATATTATTTTTTATTACAAATATTTGCACTGTAAAAATGATAAACAAAAGAAATAGTATTTTTCAATTCACCTCGTACAAGTACTGTGGTGCAATCTCTTTATCGTGAAAGTGTAACTTACAAATGCAGATTTTTTTTTGTTACATAATTGCACTCAAAAACAAAACAATATAAAACTTTAGAGTTTACAAGTCCACTCAGTCTTACTTCTTGTTCAGCCTATCGCTAAGACAAACAAGTTTGTTTACATTTACGAGAGATAATGCTGCCTGCTTCTTATTTACAATGTCACCTGAAAGTGAGAACAGGCATTTGCATTTTGTAGCCGGCATTGCAAAGTATTTATGTGTCAGATATGCTAAACATTCATACGCCCCTTCATGCTTCGGCCACCATTCCAGAGTACATGCTTCCATGCTGATGATGCTCATCAAAAAAATAATGTGTTAATTAAATTTGTGACTGAACTCCTTGGGGGAGAATTGTATGTCTCCTGTTCAGTTCTACCCGCATCTGCCATATATTTCATGTTATAGCAGTCTTGAATGATGACCCAGCACATGTTCATTTTAAGAACACTTTCACAGCATATTTGATAAAACGCAAGGAAGGTACCGATGTGAGATTTCTAAGGATAGATACAGCACTCAACCCAAGGTTTAAGAATCTGAAGTGCCTTCCAAAATCTGAGAGGGACAAGGTGTGGAGAATGGTTTCAGATGTCTTAAACTCAGATGCGGAAACTACAGAACCCGAACCACCAAAAAAGAAAATCTACCTTCTGCTAGTGGCATCTTACTCAGATGTTGAAAATGAACATGCGTCAGTCCTCTCTGCTTTGGATCATTATCGAGCAGAACCCATCATCAGCATGGACCCATGTCCTCTGGAATGGTGGTTGAAGCATGAAGGGACATATGAATCTTTAGCACATCTGGCACGTAAATATCTTGCGATGCCGGCTACAACAGTGCTATGCGAATGCCTGTTCTCACTTTCAGGTGACATTTTAAACAAGACATGGGCAGCATTATCACCTGCAAATTGTAACCAAACTTGTTTGTCTGAGCGATTGGCTGAAAGTAGGACTGCGTGGACTTGTAGGTTCTAAAGTTTTACATTGTTTTATTTTTGAATGCAGTTAGTTTTTGTACATAATTCTACATTTGTAAGTTCAACTTTTATTATAAAGAGATTGCACTACTGTACTTGTATAAGGTGAATTGAAAAATACTATTTCTTTTGCTTTTACAGTGCAAATATTTGTAATCAAAAATAAATATAAAGTGAGCACTGTCACTTTGTATTCTGTGTTGTAATTGAAATCAATATATTTGAAAATGTAGAAAAATCTAAAAATATTTAAATAAATGGTATTCTATTATTGTTTAATCACACGATTAATTTTTTTAATTGCTTGACAGCCCTATAAATTACTTGCCTCTGCATATGCATTGTGAAGCTTAGTTCATTAGTGTTTGTAAAACACTCTGGAGAGCCTCAGATGGGAAGTATTATAGAAGTGCAAAGCTATTATTGTTATTATTTGTAGTCAAAACACTACTAGCACCATAACTTTGCACAGCACCTTATGGAGATTATTAAAATAAAGCAAATTGTGGCTCCCTACCCCCCACTCAAAGATCGTAACAGTCTAAATCAAACAAACATGGAACATGAGACTAGACAACGGAAGGGGGTTGCAAAAGCAGGGATGAGGATTAAAAGAGAGGAGTATTTTTGTTACATACTACAGAGTGAGTGAAGGCGAGTTCTTACGGTAAAAGTCGTCTTCCAGTCCTGTGCAGTCTATGGCAGGAAGCAAGGCAAGAGACACGGGTTTTGGGGGGGGATTTATAGGAAGATAGCAAATATGCTTGGTACACAGGAAGGAGCAGAGTGAAAGAAAAGGCATGAACACAGGTGTGGGAGAGAGGAGGCAGAGAGTAGAGGGCAGGGTTTATGAATAAAGTGACAGTAGTTCCATTATTTCTTCATAGTGGCCCATTTATCTCCAAATGGCAATGGTCAGTCATTTCAATTCCTAATCCATTCTGGGAACCAACATACATAGGGGTAGTACTATGGAAGTGCAGCATGTATCCTGCCATCTGTGTAACATAACAAGACATAGCATGGGCACAACTGAAACCAGTTTAATAACCAGGTCAGGGATATAAAAACTTGACTGAGACAACGTGACGTTAGAAGGCAAATTAGCTCCCATTCTAAAAAGCTGTGTTTACTTTACGATGCCTATAGCTATACATAATTTAATTTAGTGCCCAATCCTGCTAGCCCTTCACATGCAGAGCTCTCATATCTGGTCCTCAGATTGTATAGTCTTCTGGGCAGGGAATCTGTCTTAGAGACACCGAGATTTTAAGGCCAGAAGGGACCATAGGATCATCTAGTCTGACATACACAACTCAGGCCATGGAATTTCCCCAGTGATTCCTGCATATAGTCTTCTAGGTCTATGAAGTTCCGTGCATAAGATACAGCTGCATTGGTAGATAACAGGCACTTACAAATACCCACAGGGCTTTATCTTGCTTTACATACCATATAGTAGAAGGCAGGCATAACCCAAAACACCTAATCTAAATGACATGCAAGAACTAATGTGAAAAAGTAGAGCTGCAACAGAATCCATCAGGTACATACAACCTGCCATGTAAATAAATAACTACACCATATGTTTTGAAAAGATCTGAAAACTCATTTGCTATAAAGCTCCATTACCATGTGTATGCAATGTTTCCCTTTACTATATAGGCAAAGACACACTTACTGCATGCTCCACAGGTGAAGCAGCCATCATGGTAGAGATTCCCCATGGCTTGGCAAGCCTGGTTTGCTCCATACACACCTTGGCTGCACTTCACACAGGTTCCTGAAAATGAAATAATGACAAAGAAGAGAGATCAGAGGTAGAATGTATTAACATGACAAGTGCACGTAAAGGAAAGAGATGGCCTAGCTGCAGAGAATTTTTACCTGCGCCAGAAGTACTGGCTCATTAATATGTGCGTCTCGATTAACGAACAGCAGAAGTTAGACACAGTCATCATAGCAGGGGAAGCTAGGCGATTTCAGTATTATACACCTTGCAAACTATTGTTAAAGGCTGATGCTATCATCAGATTTGTGGAGTGCACATCACTGTAAATAATGTGAAAGACTATCTCAAGACCCAGTTTCCTAGACTTATGCCCTTCCCTCCCCACACCCACCCTTTCCCAACCACCTCATACACACTATAAAAAAGAAAACTGCAGAAAGGCTTGAAGGTAGTGAAACTTGTTTGGTTGTTCAATGACAAATAGCTTTCACTACTTCAGTGTAGAATGTACCTTTTGATTGCCACAATGGCTTCAGGAAACTAGGATTCCCCTTTAATTGATCAATTTAAATCACAGAATCATAGAATATCAGGGTTGGAAGGGACCTCAGGAGGTCATCTAGTCCAACCCCCTGCTCAAAGCAGGACCAATTCCCAACTAAATCATCCCAGCCAGGGCTTTGTCAAGCCGGGCCTTAAAAACCTCCAAGGAAGGAGACTCCACCACCTCCCTAGGTAACGCATTCCAGTGCTTCACCACCCTCCTAGTGAAATAGTGTTTCCTAATATCCAACCTAGACCTCCCCCACTGCAACTTGAGACCATTGCTCCTTGTTCTGTCATCTGCCACCACTGAGAACAGCCGAGCTCCATCCTCTCTGGAACCCCCCCTCAGGTAGTTGAAAGCAGCTATCAAATCCCCCCTCATTCTTCTCTTCTGGAGACTAAACAATCCCAGTTCCCTCAGCCTCTCCTCATAAGTCATGTGCTCCAGACCCCTAATCATTTTTGTTGCCCTCCGCTGGACTCTTTCCAATTTTTCCACATCCTTCTTGTAGTGTGGGGCCCAAAACTGGACACAGTACTCCAGATGAGGCCTCACCAATGTCGAATAAAGGGGAACGATCACGTTCCTCGATCTGCTGGCAATGCCCCTACTTATACAGCCCAAAATGCCGTTAGCCTTCTTGGCAACAAGAGCACACTGTTGACTCATATCCAGCTTCTCGTCCACTGTGACCCCTAGGTCCTTTCCTGCAGAACTGCTACCTAGCCATTCGGTCCCTAGTCTGTAGCAGTGCATGGGATTCTTCTGTCCTAAGTGCAGGACTCTGCACTTGTCCTTGTTGAACCTCATCAGGTTTTTTTTGGCTCAATCCTCTAATTTGTCTAGGTCCCTCTGTATCCGATCCCTACCCTCTAGTGTATCTACCACGCCTCCCAGTTTAGTGTCATCTGCAAACTTGCTGAGAGTGCAGTCCACACCATCCTCCAGATTATTAATAAAGGTATTAAACAAAACCGGCCCCAGGACCGACCCTTGGGGCACTCCGCTTGAAACCGGCTGCCAACTAGACATGGAGCCATTGATCACTACCCGTTGAGCCCGACGATCTAGCCAGCTTTCTATCCACCTTACAGTCCATTCATCCAGCCCATACTTCTTTAACTTGGCAGCAAGAATACTGTGGGAGACCGTATCAAAAGCTTTGCTAAAGTCAAGGAATAACACATCCACTGCTTTCCCCGCATCCACAGAGCCAGTTATCTCATCATAGAAGGCAATTAGGTTAGTCAGGCACGACTTCCCCTTGGTGAATCCATGCTGACTGTTCCTGATCACTTTCCTCTCCTCTAAGTGTTTCATAATTGATTCCTTGAGGACCTGCTCCATGATTTTTCCAGGGACTGAGGTGAGGCTGACTGGCCTGTAGTTCCCCGGATCCTCCTTCTTCCCTTTTTTAAAGATGGGCACTACATTAGCCTTTTTCCAGTCATCCGGGACCTCCCCCGATCGCCATGAGTTTTCAAAAATAATGGCTAATGGCTCTGCAATCTCATCCGCCAACTCCTTTAGCACCCTCGGATGCAATGCATCCGGCCCCATGGACTTGTGCACGTCCAGTTTTTCTATTTCAGTTTACTACCGCTTCTGATGAACATAAAAATCATGAGACTGCCCACTAATCCAGCCTCTAGACTAAACATCAAATCCACATCTCTTCCCTTTCCCAGATACCTTCTGAAAGGGAAGTCTCAATGTGAATATTATCTACATATAATGTATTCCAGGCCAGATCCTTCCCCCCCCGTTCATTTAAAACAATTCCATCTGGTGGAACAGATGTTTGCTGGTAATACAAGTAAGCTCGTATGGACTTGATTCTCAGAATAGCTAGTATGGACTTGATTCTCAGAATTGCCTGTGGAATGAAGAACAGCCAGTGCATGCACACACAGATTTAGCTTTAGGAGCCAAAACTCTACCTATATCTGTTGGCTCTGAATAAGATGATCATAATTACGATGGCTAGCCTGAGCTGGAGCACAAATCCACCCACATTCAGCGTGCTATTACAGAGGAAATGTAAAATGAAACTGAATGCTTTGACTGTGAGGGTGGTGGGGGCAACCTTTGCAAACCAGAAGGACTAGCTGCATCCTTGTCTTACTCGCTCAAGCAGGAGAATACGGGGGAGTAACCCCCACACCCTATTGCTCAGCCAAGTAAGACCAACACGGATCTCCAGATGGGCTCTGTTGCAAAGCAGCACCCCAGCTCTCCAAACACTCCCCGCTGCAAGCAAGAGGTCAAGGAGGATGCAGAGGCTTGGTTTTACTCCCTCTCACTGGCAGGAGTAGCTGGCCAGGCCAGGGGGAGGAGTAAACATCCTTTCAAGGGCTGCAGTAACGTACCCTCTCCCCCCTCCAAGAAGCAAACAAGAGCCAGAGAGGAATAGCTCTGAAGCATGATGCCTCTTGGGGCAGAGCGGTTTATGCATTGCCCTTTGGTCAGCCCTGTGCCTAGAGGGACAATGTAGCCCCACGCAAGTAATTTGTAGATGCGTTTACCTAGCTGTTTAGTGAAAAATGAATGTGTTTTATTATTATTGCTCTGTATATAACAGTCTGGGCAGGCAAAAAAAAGGACAGGGCCTTCCACCAAGTAGTCTACTATTGAAGGCTCCATGCATGAGCAGTCCCATTGAACATCAACGAGGCTATAATAGCATGGAACTGCAGGAATGAGGCCCTGAATAGACACAGCATAGTAAAAGATGGCAATGGGGGAGAGGGGAGTGTATAGGAGGAAGAGGAAGGCTATAGCAAGGAAAGATTACAAGATGTACTTGAGGTTATGTCAGACCCCTTTTAAAAATTAATATATTTCAATTTGGGGCAGCGCCCAGTGATAGCTGGACTTGGCCTTGTATCTTCCTTGAGAGACAGACATTGCCTCACAAGCAATAAAAACCTACAGTTGGTCTGCTTTGCCCTCTCTCTGCAGTCACAGAGAAAGGGCAGCCTAGGCCATGTTTAATGACTGCCTACCACACTTGGCCCCCGTTTGATTTCCAAAGAAACCTTTTTTGATAAGGAAAAGAGATTACAATTAGATCCATTTCCGTGAGCCAAGTATTACTGAGGCTTCTCTCCTTCCTTAGTCTAAAATGAACATGGCAATAACGGGACCAGAAATTCTGCAACTGAATGGAAATTTTACTCGTTACAAATTATTGCTACTTTCCTATGTTCAAAAACAGCACAAGCATAACAGAGGGTTGGGATGATGCACAGCAAATTACATGTTTTGAGGAAAGGGGCAATCACCCTTATCAATTTCCTTCACGGTTTTTGAGTTGGAATATTCCTCGCTCCTCTAATACGGTATAGACTCCACAATGAAAGGCATGCCGGAGTCAGACTGACAGAGAAGGGGATGTTATTGTCTCAAAATAAATATCAAGTGGAGCTAGCTTGTCTGTGCTAAGCGTTATCACATGATCACCACAGACCAGTTTTAATGCAGAATCAGGCTCAAATTATCTGAAAAATTAGCAGTCAACATTTTCAGCAGGGCCAGCTCTGTTTCCACAATGTTGTAATCTATGTTTACTTCACTTATCTTTACTTTTAACCAAGAGAGGTGGTACAGACCTGGGGCTGATTTCTGCCTCTGTACTGACCTGCTAGGTGATCATGGGAATGTTACTTCACCTTCCTGTGATTCTGTGGCCTGGTCTACACTGGGGGGGAATCAATCTAAGTTACGCAACTTCAGCTACTTGAATAACATAGCTGAAGTCAACATACTTAGACCTACTCACCGCGGTGTCTTCACTGTGGTGAGTGGGCTGCTGCCACTTCCCCTTCGACTCCGCCTCTCGCTTCGGTGGAGTACAGGAGTCTAGACTAGACGCGATAAATTGACCCCCGCTGGATCTACACTACCCGTCGGATCGGTGGGTAGCCATAGACATACCCTGTTTCTCCTTCCACCCTTTGTCTGTCTGATCTATTCAGACTGTAAAACTCTCTGAAGCAGGTACTGTCTCTTACTATACGTGTGGATAGTGCCTAGCACAGTGAGGTCCTGGCTTCATTTGGGGTCGGTAGGCACTACTGACATAACTGATTACATAGCTGATTTAAGGTTCCAAACTAATTTTAAGTGACTGAAAGGTCTGGTCCATGTTAGGACAAAACTAAACTATCTGCAACAGTGCCCAAAAGGCGTTGTCAAGTATGGCTCTGGCAGAACCATGCTGGCTATGGATTTTAGCAAACATTTCTCCCTCTTGCTAACAAGTTTTCATCATTCCGTGGTAAAAATGCCTGAGACCTGTCTACAGCTACACTTGCACTGTTGCTGAAAAGCAGATACTAATCTTCCTACTACATAGTATCCCTGAGTATGCAAAGCACATTACAATGCGTTAGGCTAGAACTCTGAAAACTGTTACAAAACACAGTTCCAAGCCCTAGTGTGGTCAGATCCAAAGAGCAGAACTGGAAAGAATCCAATCATAAGACTGAGAAGAATAGAAAGC